AAAAATTATCAACACAAAAAACTACAAATTTTCCATTCTTAAAATAGTTGCAACATTTAAACTTTTTCGAAATAAGTACATTCTCATATGTTTTAAAATAATTTTAACTTCGAAATTTTTATACATATAATTATTTATTTTTTTGTAATTATGTTATTATGGTTTTCGTTTAAGTTTGGGTATATAAAAAAGAATAAAATGAAGCAAAAAAAAATTAATAAATTAATTCAGTCATTGTAGCTAAGCAATTTTTTCTTGAAAAATGTTTTTCTTTTTTAAACTATATACATATGTATATTATTTTAAGGAGTTTCAAAATTACAAATTTAATTAAATTTTTTAGTCCCGTAATTTTGGAAAAAAATTTTGTATTAATTTTTTCAAATATTATTAAAATTTAATATATTTAATTAATTTAAAAGGTTTCAAATTTATATGTAGTTTATGAATTTTAAACTCAACTTTCTTTTAATTTTTTTTTTCAAATAAGGTATAATATCCACCTTGTAGATGGTATGAAAACAAATATGCCATAGTATCCATGCCGAAAGCAGCACTAACATACCCATAATTAGTCGCTATATACATACATACATACGTACTAATGCATGTATATGTACATATACATATTTAACTGCACCCTTGCCTTATTGCATTTATATTTAATTTTATTTTAGCGTCACACAACATTCTTCCGTCCGTCCATCTACCACTAGCCGTATAATTTCTGTGTTTACTGTAATGTTAAAATTATAACGCATAAGTCACGAAATCGCTTAAGGCGGCTGTGGCTGTAGCAGCTACATACACAAACTACATACGAGTATATGCAATAAGCAGCAGAAAAGTGCAATATGAAAAATAAAAAAAAAAAATTAAAAAATTAAAAAATAAGCCATAATAATTCGCTTAGCCTGTAAAGTAGGAAACACATACATATAGATACATTTATGTGCATCTACATACATATGTATGAATTTAGTTGGTACATCAATTGCAGTTGCGGGACATGTTGCAGCCGTCGCCACCGCCGCATACGTCACTGCCGTTGTTGCTGCATGTGAAAATCTTTCAACACGAAACGTGAGTTCTTTTTTCCTCCTGCGTCTTCTTTAATTTTTTTTTTAATTTCATTTAATTTTTTTACAACACATATGTATGTATGTGTGTGTATGAATTTATAAAGAGAAATTTTTTTTAAATTATTTTTAATTTTTATATTTTTTTCCTCTTTTTTTCTGATTTTTCGATTTGTAAAGCTTTGCAGGTTGGCAGCCATATTCCAATGAGGCCTACGTAAGCGCAAACGAAAAATGTAGGCATATACTAACATGTGTATATCGAAGTGTATGTGTGCGTGTGTACGGTTCCATTTGTGGCATGTACAAAGTATTTGTATGTATGCAAGTAATCTGCCATATGTAAGACTAATTTTATACGCGCTGCCATAACAACAAAATGGTTTATTAAGAAGGGAAATGAAGCGTTTGCCATGTAGAAATTAAAAACAGCAACAGCAAATACTAACACATACAACAACAACAATAACAACGCATTGCAATGCGCAGAAAATGTGCAATTTACTGCAAAAATAAAACACTCTGCCATACGAGCGTACGTACCTACGTACATGCATATTCATGTACATACATATGTATGTATGTGAGCATGTGCATACGCGCTGGTGGAAAAGAGAGCGCACAATGCACTGCCAGCGGCGTTGAACAGTGCAAATTGCGCAGAAGATGATAAAAATAGTAGAAAAAAAAATTTGGAAAAAATAAATAAATTAAAAAAAATTAAAAACAAAAAACTACAAATTGTTGGCGGAGGGGGTAACCTAGTACAAATATGTACAGTGTATGCGCATATGTGCATGCATAGCACAGCATAGCTAAAACCGTTGTGGCATGATGGCGTGCTGAAGTTAATTAACCGACAATTTTCTGCTTTTTCTTCATGTTTATGCATTGCTTCAGCGCGTTTTTGATACGTAGTAGAATATTTTTATTTTTTTTATTTTTTGGTATTTTTGCCAACACAAATTCTAGCTGCATAGCTTTTGCACTTAACTTTTTTTTTTTCTTTTTCGCTTTTGATATGCCTCAAAAAATAAAAACACAAAATGCTGTGCAAAACATATGTGAATTATTCAAAGTTTAAATGCATAAGTGGCACTAATAGCAGCTCGAATACGTGCTGGTGATTGAGTGACCGTGAAGTTGAGAGGGGAATATAAAAAAAATTTAATTTGAATTTAGAGTTAAACAAAAAAGTCAACAAAAAAAATAAATTTGAGGAAAAATTAAAAAAAAATTTGGAAATCCAAATTAAAAATTAAAATTGAAATAAAACCCAAAGTAAATATATTATATAAGGGCGAGTACAAATTTTTTTTCCATATGCTTTAAACAAATTTATGACAGCAATTATGCTTAAGCCACATAGCATTGACCTTTCCGTGTTAGAAAATCATTTGATAAATAAATAACTATATACGAGTAGTCGTGCCTGCAACAACAACAACAAAATAGAATCAACATTTGATAATCCCTAACCAAAAATAAAATAAAAATTAAAAAAAAAAAACTCATCAACATCCCTCCTACAGCATCACTTCACGCTCACATTATCTCATTTTCAGTCTTAACATTTGTTGTTGTTATTTTAGTTTAGCCTTGAACGCTTACATTTTGTCGCTTCGAAACTCCCTCCAACTGTCTAATAATAATGAAATATTTGTAGAAATTCTTCAAAAGATACCAATTCTTCTTTTGTTCTCATACGAATTCAGGCATTAGCTCTTGATATAATTTCTTTCCTTCTTAGTATTTATATTTGTGTATATTGTACATACGAGTACATATGCTTAAGCGCATTCTTTCACTCGCCACGCCACATAATTCAACCAAAAGCAGATAATTTGATCTTTTTGCTCTCTAAAAAAAATTTTAACTTATTTCCTATGGTTTTGTAGAGGGAGTATTAAATTACGTGAACCGCATGGAAACATTTACATATTTACATACTTATGTATATGCATACATTCTTTTTATTTATTAATTTATACATATTAGAAATATATGTATGTATGTATTATGTATATTTTCGATTTGTTGGAAAAACCATCAAGACGCAAAACCACAAATGGGAGGACGATCTCGGCTGAAAATCGCTTCAACGTTTACAAAACGCCAATTATATATATATATATATATATATATATATATATATTCCAAAGAGAAATTAAGGGAAACCCGTCTTGGGCTAAATTTTTTAATTAATAACTAAATTTAATTTAGGAGAATTTGAGTGTTGAACTTTGTTCTATACGACGCTGTGACTTCCTCAGGAAAATTTGTAAATTTTTCCATCGAGCGAAACCCCCATTTTATCCAAATGTTAGTATTACAAGTGAGAAAAAAGGTGTTGCTGCAGGTATAGCAGCAAACGATGTGTCAACTGTAAACACTCATTTGAAATCAGATCGAAATCGCTATCTCAAAGCTTTGATGAATTTTAGAGCTTTTACGATTACATTCAAAACAAAATTTTATTTTAATTTCTAAAATGAGGATGAACTTTCTACCAGTAAAAAGAGCTTTCTTAGCTCTTAACAAACTTTAGGAGCTTTTCGCTCCTCAAGATTTGCTTACTTTTAATACTAATTTTAATTTTATATTTAATTTTAATTTTAATTTTAATTTTAATTTTAATTTTAATTTTAATTTTAATTTTAATTTTAATTTTAATTTTAATTTTAATTTTAATTTTAATTTTAATTTTAATTTTAATTTTAATTTTAATTTTAATTTTAATTTTTAATAAGGCCCCATAAAATTCTTACAATTTTCGGAATAAAATGACTATGTATTTATATTATATTATATTCACCTACATATACATGTGTACAGCCATTGAAAGCCTCCTTAATGGTTGCCCTTTCTACTCAGACATCTTGTTGCGATTGCAGCAACACATGTTGGGAAGAGTAAAATAAATAAAAAAATAAAAAATAATATATATACTTTTTGGAACGCTACAAGCCTAAGTTAATAAAATAAAATGAAATTCTACAAAATACTAAAAAAAAAATATGCAGCAGCGAAAACCTTTAAAATTATACAAATCCAGCTACACCAACAAGTCAACTCAGATACTTAAAGCATAACCAATAATCTAAGTAAGAACCAGCCAAACAACCGCAGCGAGTCACTCACTCACTCACACGCATAAATGTTGTATGTTTTATTTTCGTTTTGGTTGCACCAATCGAGCGATGAACCAGCGATTGAGCCTATAATAATGATAAGCTGGTTTTTAATCAGAAAATTTATTGTACACATCTCTCACGTATGTACCTACATATGTACATACATTGTATGTATGTGCAAGTATGCGAGTTTTGTGTTGTGAGTCGTTGCAAGTTCAAGTTGATGATGGGTTATGGTTGGCCATAATTATAGGTCCTGTCAAATGCTAAATGAAAACGATACACATGCATAATCATATGGAGGTGAACACGCAGATATCTATGCTTATGTACATATGTTTATACGAGTTTATATATATTTTTTTTATAAGATATACACCTTTTATATGAAAGTTCACATGGCCTTTGGCTTTTAGTGCTCTTTCTGCCTTCAGGTGTTTTTGCAGGAAAAAAAAATTATTGCTGTATTTTTTTGTTATTAAAAAAAAAAATTAAGTGTTGTCGATTTTATTCGCCATTTAACGTATCACACGCTAATGCATTATTATTGTTATTTGAGAGCTCGTTTTTTGGCGTGTGTGTGTGGGTTCTTACTTCCTTTTTATATTAGAAAAAATCAATAATTGTCTTATTTGATGTGATATAATTTTAAAATTGTTTACTTAAAATTGTCTAAAATTAAAAAATTATGCATTCAAATTTTCAAAGGTTTTACCATAATTTTAAGATTCTTTTAGGCAATCTGTAAAGTTTTTTAAAAATTAATGAATTTTTCTTTCACACTCACCGCTTGCACTTGTGCCGAAATTGTCTGAAATTGAAAGAGAATTGTTATGTTAAAAATGGAAGTAAGCAGATTTAAGTATTTTTATTGCATTTTAAAATTATTTGTAATTTTATGTACTAGAAAATTTAATAAAAAACAATAGTATAATGAAGATATGATTTTAAACAAAAAGCCCATAAAAGAGTTTGTCTAAAAGACAACAAAAAAACTGTTTAATATATTTAAAAATATATATATTTTAGTTTAAAAACTTATAAATAATTCTAAATTATTTCTTAAATTTTTCTTCTTTCAAGAAAATAAAATTTATATAAATGAAATCTTTATAGAAAAGTTAACTCTACAGCATTTATGTGTCATACATATAACTAAATATAACCAAATTAATGTCAAACCGTGAATAAATCTTTATTTACATAAGAGCTGCATGCCACACTCATCGTTTATACAAATGTGACAAGCGAACTCTAAAGTTTTTTAATACACTTGCCTTTATGGTGTCATCAGAAAATCACCAAAAATATTAAAGACTACAATATTTCACTTAAAAACTAAACAATCACCAGTTTTTATTTATTTAAATCGGTTTTTTGTTTTGGAATTTCATTCATATTTCAGTGTGCGTGTGTGCGTGCGTTTATAATAACCATGCAACAACTTAAGTCGCGCCCAAACAAAATCAAATAAACATTTTAAATCTAAAACAACAATGCTAAGCCAACCAAAGCCGTGATTTGTTTTGAAGTATCGGTGTATTTTTGGGGTTTTGATTTAATACTTTTAAGTTTCCTTGCTTCTTTTCTTGCTTGTCTAAAACACACACATAAAAACGCATAAATATTAGGTAAAGCATTGAAATGTGTGGCCACATATTTATAACATTTTGCCTGTTGGTATTATTAGCGAATAAAAATGAAATATATGTTTAGCCATCAATCAAATTTGGTGTAGCGTATGAGTTATTTGCATGTGTATGTGTATGTGTGTATGTGTGTGCGTGTTTTTGGATGAGCAAAAGTGAATGAATGTAGAAATGAATGAATGGAAATTAAACGGATTGTTTGCATTGAGTCTTGAATGAATGAGGAAGAAAAAGAAACATATTTTGGAGGCAGCACATTTCTTTAAATGAAACGAACATTTAAAAATTTTTTCATACCGATATTTAAGCTGCACATAAATCATGCTATGAAATCAGTAAATTAAAGGTTTTTTGTTAGTAATAAAGTTTGGGGCGTTAAAAGGGTTCATCAATGTGATTTTTTTAAATTTATTTTTTCTAATATATATTAAGGTTCCATTCGTAGGCGTTATGGCTTCACATTCTTTAATGGCATTTTGAGATTCGTCATCGGCAAATCAATAAAAAATTCACACACTAAATTTTATATTTCTAAAAATTCGAATGCGTGAAATATAAAAATTGCCAATACAATGTTGAGATTTGTATTCAATGTTTTCAGATTTTAAGGGTACAAAAACATTAAGAAATTTTAAGAGCATGCGAAAATTTGAAGTAGTTTAACTTGGGTTTTAAAAAAAATTTCTTAGAAAGAAAATAAAGAGTTATGATCAGCAGAAGTCATAAAAGACAACATATGTAAATGTGTGCACGCTATGCACTATGTGAAAAAAAATGTAGCTGTTAAATAAATTACATATTAACCACATTTTAGCTCTTCGTATTTTGATATTAAATAAACTTAAATTTATTTACTTTAATTTAGGATAATTTATTTTTTTTGTTTAAATTAATTTAATTTCGTTTTTTTACTTCCCTTTATTTCAAATAATTTAGTTTAATTTAATTTAATTTTATTTCATTTTATTTATTTCATTTTATTTATTTTTATTGTATTATATTATATTTTATTTTTTTTTCTTTTATTTTATTTTATTTTATTCTATTTTATTTTATTTTATTTTGTTTTATTTTATTTTATTTTATTTTATTTTATTTTATTTTATTTTATTTTATTTTATTTTATTTTATTTTATTTTATTTTATTTTGTTTTATTTTATTTTATTTTATTTTATTTTCATTTATTTTATATCAATTTATCATATTTTATTTTTTATTTTATTTTAATTTATTTTAATTAATTTTATATTATTTTGTTTTATTTTATTTTTATATTCATTGATTTAGGTTTTTAATTTTGTATTACTCATTTTGTTATACTCAATCCTTTTCAGCCAAACATTTTACCACAAAACCAACCAAAATAAGCGGAGCACAAAGTGCATTACTCCCTCAGTGCATAACAAAACACGTCACATAAATTCAGCTTTAAGCAATAAAATTATATTTTTTTTCCAAAGTCAAATTTATTCGCTCCTTTTTTCATAAGCAATATATTTCCTTTAAATACTGTCCAGAAATGTACAGATCACTTTGATCGCGTTGAAGATCGTCTCTGTAAAGCCATAACCATTTGTCCCTGGTGAGCGATCAGCGGCATAAGCACAGATTTTTTCCAGTTTTCAAGCTAAAAAATCACAAAAATGATCATTGCAAAACTAAGCATAATAACTTTTCGCTTCAATGAAATGTGATCCGCCAAAGGCCTGCGACGCGGGTACAGAAAAAAACTGCGATCAAGTGTATAGAGGCGAACAAAATTAAATAAAAATAAAAGATAAAAAAGCTTAAATTAAAAGAAAAATATTGTTAAAGTTGCAAAAATGAGGAGTACAAAAAATAAACAAATGACGAAAATGTTGAGTGTTGCAAATACCTGCAGCACACCTCAAAATCACTGGGGGATATCAACGGCAACGCAGCGCATTGCAATGACAACACGAAGTTAAGGAGTTAAGCTGAAGACATTTTTTGCTTCTGCTGGGATGTAGGCTGTTGGCTGATCACGCTGTGATCTTGGAAATTAATAAAAATGGATTTTTATTTATTTCCGTTTGCTTATTTTGAGATTTTTTACTTTTATAAGTACGAATGTATGCTTGTAAGTGGGTATGTGACTGTGCAGCAAAACTTGAAGGCAGTTATTTTTTAAACAATTTATTCAACAGAATTTTTTGTTTTTCTCGATTTTTAAGCTCTTTTCATTCATTTACGCGCTTGTCACTCGCCGCACCGTCGCCATTCTTGATTTTGTTATACGGAGTTCTTTTTTGTTGGTTGTTTTTAGTGCTTGTAAGTGCATTGTGTAGATTTGTTTCAGCGATGTTGTTGCTGCTGCTAGTCGAACACGCATTGAAACATGTTGTTGCGACATTGGCTGTACGCCGTACGCGTAGATGATGCTTTACCTACTTCATTTCATGCTTTAAGGCTTCATTTCATCATCAACGAGTCTTCACCGCTGCGCCTGCACGCCAAGTTCAGTACACAGTCAATTCAGTTGACACTTGGTGTGGTGCCCAGTCCGCGGTCGAGGCTGAAGAGTTCATAAATAATCGTCTTTAGCGGTAATATGCAGGCGGCGCGGGCTGCGGTGTCGCTTGACGGGTCATCGATTGATCACGCGCCCTACTGCCAAGATTGCTAAAAACATGTCAATACACAAAAACACACACACGTATGTATTTGGCATGTGTACAGCGGCTTACAAGCTTAACGCTCATTCGCACCTTCGAAGGTGCGCAAAGTATTTTATTTTTAGCACAAGAGAAAACATCAAGCAGAGAAGTATACTTGGCATTATTTGGTGGCAGATTTCTTTAAAATTGCCTACCAAGTCCTACTTGGTCTTAGTGAATGCTGTATGGAGTAGATAATTCCACAAGCAACGCAACGCACCATCAAACTGTACTGCTTGCCGAGCGACGCGGCGCGCATTGCGACGGTATTTAGTTTAGCGGAGTCCATGTCGCCGTCGTCTGCTGGTGGTGCCGCCAACTCAGGGCACTAGGAGCAGTGGGATTTGATTGCGGGCGCGCAGCATTTTAAACAGTTTCGAGGATTTTGATTTCAACAAAATGTAAACAATGTTCTTAAGCATTCCACTAACGTCTTCCCAGGCCAGCCAGTTGTCACAGTGAGTGCGCGAGACGCAATCATCACTGTCTTTGTCGCGTCACGCTGTCATCTCATGCACTTTGGATTCACTTCAGCGAAGTTCTGCTGATTTGAATTGCCCGTGTTCTACCCTTTTCACCACCTACACGTGTTTTGTCATCATTGGGTTTTTTTTTTAGTGTTTTTCAATTTTGTTTACTCTCTCTCCTCGTTCTTTCTTTGATCGCAGTACACTTCGTCGCATTTAAATGACCAAACCGAAAAGTGAGAAGCGAAAAGCCATTGCGAGTGCCAGTGCCGTTCCGTTCAGCCAGTTGATCCCATTTTAATATTCTAGATACCCAAATGAAATACGTGTCTGGCAGCGCAACAAACGTTTATTGTTTTGTTAATTGATTATAAAAGCATTTATATGGTCACACACAAACTATTGCCACACGAATTGTTATTGCGAATGGCTGTTGTGCGGTTGTGTTTGTGTGCTTGTGTGTAGGTATACGTATTACTACTTGCTGGTGTTGCTGCTGCTGCAGCGCGTTCGTTGCATGCCTCAAAAATTTAAAATGCACACTGCATCGGCGCAATTCGCTTTGGCAAAAACAAAATTGGTATGCAAAATTGGTTTGGCGACACAACTGTTGGCTGGAGTAGTAGCGAAATTTGTTGCTGTTTATGGTGTTTTTATTTTCGTAAGTTTTTTCATTGTTTATTTGCAGTTGTCATTTCACCATTGTTTTTTTATTTTTATTTTTTTTATTAGCAAATATCGCTGAAGTCATAGAGGCGAGTGTTAGTAGCGATAACTTCAAGCTTGCCAAATTCAGTAGCGTGGTGATGTTTTTTTTTGTATTATTTGTATAAATATATTTGTATTTATTTTTTTTTTGAATTCTCTATAACTCCGCTGGAAGGTCATTGCAGGCCCGCAAACAGCCTTGAAACTGGGTTGGGCCAATGCGTCTGCGTAAATGGACAATAAAACTGCGTGGGAACGCTTTATAAAATTTATTTTTCTGCACGAGTATATCACAGAATATTTTTTTA